AAGCCTCTGGCCACCGTGTGAAACGGTCGATAGCGGTTAAACAATATGTAAATCCGTTGGAGAATGGTAAGGGTCCAATGATATCAATGTGAATATGGCGAAATCTACCAGATGGGAGTTCAAACTGTCCGATGGGTGATTTATTATGTCTTGAAATTTTATTTCTCTGGCACTGTATGCAGAAACGTGTCCATTCGCGACAATCTTTGTTAATATTTGGCCAAACATAGCGTTCTGACACAAGACGCGCGGAAGCCTGTGCACCGGGATGACTAAGTTGGTGACAGCGGTCAAATGCAGATCGACGGAACTGTGGCGTTAGATAAGGTCTTGGTCTGCCAGTGGAAGTGTCACATAATAAGGTGATACTGGTTCCTGGAATTGGAATGGGCTCCAGTTTCAGAGACGAGGTTTTACGAATGTTCGCCAGTTCTTCATCTGTTTGCTGTGCCTTGGCAAGAGCTTCGTAATCTTGTTCTAAGGTCACAGCATTAATACGAGACATTGCATCAGCGACAACATTTTCTTCCCCTTTAATGTGTCGTATGTCAGTCGTGAATTGACTAATAAAGGACAATTGGTTCAGTTGGGGGGGAGGAAGTTTCTCTCGGCGTTGTACGAAAGCGTACAACAATGGCTTATGGTCAGTGTAAATGGTACAATGTTGGACCTCTAAAATGTGTCTAAAATGTTGTACACTTTCGTACACTGCCAGAAGTTCCCTATAATATGCTGGCCACTGACTCTGACGAGGAGTTAATTTCTTGCTGAAGAAAGCAAGAGGTGCCCAGTGTCCGTTGATTTTCTGCTGTAAACAGGAACCGATGTGAACGCTGGAAGCGTCAGTGAAAAGGCCAAGTTCTGCACCGTTTACGGGGTGTTGAAGAAGTGTCGCATTGCTAAGACTCTTCTTGCAATTCTCGAACTGTTCAAGGAGCTCAGGTGTCCATGGGAATGGTTTCACGCCCTTACCTTGAGTGGAAACAATGGCGTCAATTAATGAAGCTTGATATTGAGCAGCATGAGGAATGAATCGGCGATAAAAATTTATCATGCCGAGGAATCTACGCATGCCTTGCACTGTTTGAGGTGGAGGAAAAGTTAATAAATCCTGTACGCGAGTTTGCGGTGGACGCGTGCCTTCTGCGTTGACAATATAGCCAAGAAACCTTACCTCTTTTGCACCAAAGGTACACTTAGAGACATTGATGATAACTCCATTTTCCTTGAAACGATTGAAAAGGATGCGGAGGTGTTCCTTGTGGCTAGTCTCATCTGGAGAAAACACGAGAACGTCATCAACATAAGGAAAACAGAAATCAAGACCTCGCGTGACCCCATCGATAAAGCGTTGGAAGGTTTGTCCAGCATTTCTTAATCCAAAACTCATGTATGGAAATTCGAAGAGGCCAAACGGGGTGGTGATTGCTGTTTTGACAATATCCTCTTCTGCAACAGGAATTTGATGGTAAGCTTTTACCAGATCAAGCGTGCTAAAGATAGTTGCTCCACTAAGGCAGTTGGCAAAGTCGTGAATATGCCTCACTGGATAACGATCTGGAATAGTCCTGGCGTTCAAGGCACGGTAATCGCCACAAGGACGCCAAGTGTTATCCTTTTTTAAAGTCATATGGAGCGGAGATGACCATGGACTGTCAGATGGTCTTGCAATACCAGCGCGCACCATATCTTCAAATTCCTTCTTGGCAGAAATCAATTTCTGCGGGGCGAGACGGCGTGGCCGACAAGAGACAGGAGGACCATCTGTAGTCTTGATGTAATGGAGAGTGTTGTGCTTGACAACTCTTGGAAGTCCAGGAGGTTTGGTGATTTCAGAAAATTCTGAAAGTAGAAAAGTAAATTCATTACTTTCTGAAAGAACAACCTTGACACTAGCCTGTTCGGACACGGCGGTAGCAGCAGATGCAGATAAACCGGTGATACCATCGACTAACCGTTTGGTTCGACAATCGGGTAGCAGGTGGTAATGAGCCAAGAAGTCTGAGCCGATGATGGCGGCGTTGACATCGGCGACCATGAATCGCCAGACGAAACTTCGACGCAGTCCAAGGTCTAAAGTAAGACTGATGGTGCCAAACGTCTTGATGCAACTTCCATTTGCGGCGCTTAGTTCAAATTCTGAGATTTTCCTCGGACTTGGAAGCCAGCGGTGCGGGAAACAACACAAATCTGAACCCGTGTCAATAAGAAAGTAGCGCTTAGAAATTTTGTCAGTGATGAATAATCGACGGCCGTAATTTTCAATGGGATTGCGATCGGTTGCCGTCGCTATCGATCGCTCGTCGAGTTTTCCGACGACCAAGAGCAAGGCCCAATGCAATGTGTTGCCTTGGAACCAAATTTCTTATGGTACCAGCAAATTCTTGAAGAGCTGTGTGGTGAGGAGCCACGCGAAGGAAGTCTATTTCTAGACGAAGATCTGGAACGAGGCGCGCGTTGACGATGCGCTTGAGTCAAAGCTGAAACTTCCTTACTGAGTTGATCAATGCGGTCCGTTAATGATTTTAAAGTTTGTTCAATATCAGAAGCAGTCGATGGTCCAGCAATACCACAAATATTTATCGCACCTGGAGATACCTCGATTATTTTATCAGCCAAGTCCGAAAGCTTGTCTAAGCCAAGGTCGGCTTGGGCTGCCAAGATCGCTTGAACTTGGGAAGGAAGACGTCGAAGCCACAGCTCGCGGAGCAGGTTGTCGTCAGTTAACGATGTTCCAGCCAATGACCGAAGATGCCTCAGGAACTGTGATGGCTTTTTATCGCCAAGCTCTTCGATGCTGAGGAGTTGCCGGACCCGCTGCTGTTGAGATGCCGATAAACGCTTAATGAGGGTATCCTTCAATGTTTGATATTTCCTTTCTTTAGGAGGGTTCATGACGATGTCCTCAATTTCTAAGGCTAATTTATGATCAATCTGGCTTATCAGATAGCTGAACATTGTGGTATCTGAAGTTATCCCTGCTAAATGGAATTGAGCCTCTGCGTGAGCAAACCACACAGATGGTGCGTGGTGCCAAAATGGTGGAAGTTTGACAGACACCTTGTAAACCTCACTCATAGGAGCCTGATGATGAGAGTCAACAGGTGATGTGATGTTGGTCGTCGAAGCGAATTCAGCTTGTTGCTTCCTGGCTGCAGCAACTTCAGCCCGCAGACTCTCCAATTCCGCTCGTAACTCTTCAGCCATGATGTGGAACTGGACACTGATCAGGAAGACAAGGCTAAGAATGTGTAACCAAAATAAACCGAAAATAATATTGAAGATGACGTGGGGGGACGGTATTAACAGTTTGAAACAAAATACATGCAACTTAATAAAAATTAAAATAACAATTTAAATACAATAAAACTCAATACAAAATTGCTGAATTAAACAATATAAAACACCATGCATCCGTTTTTATAAATTCCGAAAGTTCTGTCAGACCGTCTTTTGTTTTTCCTGATGACCGACGCAGCTGGAAAAATCCGATGCAGAAGCAGTGATGCAGTGTCGGGGATCCAATGCTCGATGTGTCGCTTTCGACGGGGTCGCAGGTCAAAATAACACAGTGAATAAAACTATTCCTTGAAATTCCGATGAAAATAAAAATTTCCTTTAGTACTTTTTGTTCGGGGTCACCAATTTGGGGGTTGCGTACATCGTTTAATTCACCAGAATATTCAGTGTCAACTTCGACTAGGATGGTTTGGATATAGGAAGTTAAACGCTTCTTAAGTATTCAACGAATTTTATATTTATCAAGACCACTGGAAATTATCTTCTTGCGTTGCTACTCACTCGCAGAGATTATATAATAATCATTGTACACCAGAGACATAAACAATATGAAAACTATAAAGAGTATATATTCTAGGAACAAAAATTTCGCTACACACCGATACAATATCTCACTCTCGAGCCCACTAACGTGACGTTTGGTGTAGACAAAGCATGTTTCGATCTTGTTATTCTTTCCGTGCTGCTTTTGTAGAAATGCGTTCAGAAGGCATGCTCCTGGTAACAATGGGAAAATGTCTTATTGACACTTTAAATAGATTGCGATTAAATTGGGAATAATACTTAACTAATGTAAAATCACATGTGAAAATGGCGTTGGATGTTAAAACTAAGACGCCTCAAATTAAATAATTTTAGGATTTCATTCAATATTAAGTTTCGATATGTTGGTTTTTTCGATATCGATATTTTCGAGCGTCGCCATATAGATATACCTATATCGGTTTGCCGATATATCGTTGCATCCCTATCTAAGACAGTGATCGTGGTAGTGGTAAATTAGCCCCTAAGAACAAGACTAAAGGCGCCACGTTACAAAGTTCGAAATTGCAGGAAAAATTATTTAACTTCTTACAATAATCTCATTTGGTTCTCATACTATTCAATTTCAATACAAAAAAATATGTTTTGCCTGGCATATTCCTATTACGGTCATAGTATGATACGTTATATCTAGTGAAGAAGAAACTTACAACAAACATATTCTTTTTAATTTTCGGACTACCTGCTATGATAGGCCTCTCTATCTAACTATATAAAAGTATTAATCAAGGCATAAAACGTAAGCCAGCATGACTAGTCATTACAAAGACCAAAGTCCGATTAGTTCATGACGATACCACTAACGCAGTCAAGGTCGCGCAAACTACGATCCGCAATATTCAGAGCGCAAGGAAATAACTCTAGTTTACGACTTCACGTCGTCACGCGTGGTTATATCATTCCTCAATCGATTATTTTATTGTGTAATAATTAGTTGTTAACGTGATATAATTATCAATCGATATTATATTTAAAAATGATAATTGTATCAAACGCGCGGTTTGGTGATCAATAATCTTACCAAACGAAGTATTTCCTCTAACCTATTTGATATTTTATTTACAAATCGACTATACGCAAAGTAATATTATTTTTAAATAATAGTAATTTATTGTGAAGTTATATTTACACAAGATTTTATTTATATTACCGGCAATATGGCAAAACGTTTGTTATTTCGGACCATATTTTGTTCCAATTCCATCAAAATAAAACCTAAGAATTCAATATTAAATAATTCCCAATGTAACCATTTACACACAAAGGTAAGTTTCTAATATTATTATTTAAAAAATCGTTGTTGTGTTGTAAAAAATCTAATTATTTACAAATAAAAATTAGTGGATGAGATGTAATGTAAATACATAATTAATAATTATATAAGTCATTTATTTCGGTGTCAGAAGAATATAAATCTAATAATATATATTATGAAAGCATAAAAATACGCCAGTTCCAGAAAAGGACAGCAGACTTTTATTTGCGCTAGACTTTCCGATATCTTACAAGTCTACTGAGAAATAAACATTCAGTTACTTCCATTTAATTTCAGGTGGAAACGAAAGAAATTACGATTCCTTTTCCATATGGCCACATAGCAGCTAAAGTGTGGGGCAGTGATCAGGATCGTCCTATCCTAGCGTTGCACGGTTGGCAAGACAACGCAGGCACATGGGATACACTCGCCCCAATGCTGTGCCAGAACAGATCCATCATGGCTATCGACTTCCCTGGACATGGCTACTCCTCGTGGATTCCTCCGGGTAATAAACCATAAGACGTAGCTATTTCATTATAGTTGATTTCGAAGTTAGAAGCCCTTTTCAGGGTTTCATGATTTTTTTTCTCCGAAATGTGGTACACATATTTAATACCGTTGGGGGAAGTCTTTTCGCATATGGTATGCATAAACTTGTAATAAAATCTCTCTGGCTATACAATTAGTATCTGACTAGTTTCGGTATCATTAAAAAAAAAAAAATTTTAAGAAGATAACTCTGAATTCAAATTAGGAAAATGTGTGATTTTCATTTGTTTTTCTTACTGCCAAAATGAGTGGATTGATAAAGAAATTCGATACATTTTAAATTTTTATTACATAAAGATAAATATATAACGCAAAACGCGAAAAAAAATCGTGTTTAAAATTATACGGAACCCTCAGCGCCTGAGCCCTTCTCGCTCTTAGCCGTTTTTTTTTCAAAATTAATCGTGCTAGGTAACTATTTTAGCTTAAATTCAAACGACAAATCGCGAAATATTCCAGGCTCACGACCTTACTTTAGAATGGTAAATCTGAATTCAACGACACTTGTATGAATAGGAATGACGACTGGGTAAAAAAAATGCAATTCTATTTAATCCGTCAGTCAATAGAAAAATATTATATATGTATATTTTTTTTTTCCTTCAATTTAACGAGAAATAGCTTAGATAACAGGCATTAAAGTTGAGGAGTGAGGGCTCGTTACGTCACAGTTTTGTAGAAACCGGACCATAACGTGACGTCATGCGAAATTTCAACTGTAATGTATCGCCGTATTTTTATGATTACGAAAAAAATACGTGTGTAATATTTTTCAACACTACCTGACGGACAAACAAATAAAAATTAGTCGTCATCCCTATTATGCACATAGGTAATAACTATAAACATATTTTACACATTGCAGGAATGCATTACTATCCATGGGAGCTGCCAAGATTGATTCTGTACCTGAAGGATTACTTCCAATGGGACAAAGTTTCAATGCTAAGTCACTCAATGGGATCCATAGCTTCACTTCGATTCGGCAGCGTTTTCCCTGACGATGTAGATTTCTACATTGCCATAGACAGTCTTATCTACGATGATTTTGATTTAAACCAAGTAGTAGAGAGATACCCATCTATATTAAAAAAGCTACGATTAGCACAAACGCGCTTAGATGTAGAACCGCCATCTTATACAAAAGATGAAATAGCTAAAAAATGGCATTTAGGTACAAATAAATCTGTATCTTTAGAAAGTACTCAATATTTAATGAAACGAGGTCTAAAACAATCGAGTAAAGATCCCAATAAATATTACTTCTCCAGAGACTCTAGACTAAAATACTCCATGTTTAAACCAGAGAACAAGCAATTCGTTGAAGCTCTAGTAAGAAGATTAAAATGTCCTACGCTGTATGTAAAAGCTATAGACTCTCCTTACGCGTCAGACGAATTTTCCGTACAAATGCGCGAAATCATAGAACAGAATAACGAAAATTATGAAATACATTTTGTGCCAGGCACTCATCATGTCCATTTAAATAACCCAGAGCTTATAGCGCCACTAATATTAAATTTTTTGCGAAAGTACAATTTAAAAATCTAGGTTCCGTAATCCATCAATAAGTTTGTGTACATTCTTCTACATACATATAAATTCAATCATAATGATTTCGTATTAAGCAGTGCTAGAGCCACCCAGAAACCGAACTCCAAATCATAAATCAGTCATAAAATGTCTGACAATTACAATGAGTCCTACCCCAGGCAGGTGCCTAGGGTGCCTATGCCTAGTGAAATTTGATAATCCTTCAATAAATCTAGGCCTATTGCCTAGGGGAACGATCTAACATAGAGACTCGCGTGGAATCTAAGTAGAAGGCGCTGTTGAACTAACTAACATGTTGTAGTAATACAAGCTGCTGTAAAGCAGCAAAATACAGAGTCAGGACTTAATACGTAATAAAACAGTTTTGCTAAAACCTAATGAATGTAAAAGATATTTATTTGCAATTAAATAAGGTACTTTAGGCATTTAAGTTTAGAATCGGATTTAGCGTAAAGTGTTTGTTTTGTCTAATATTTATTTAATAATTAAAATAATAGCTCTAGAGTACAATACTCCATACCACCCAGTGGCGTAACTATACCGTTTGAGACCCGTGGCAAATTCATCGGATATTCAATTTCTTTTTACTAATTGCCTAAAAATTAGGGAGAGTCTCCTCTGACCGGGGGCCCGTTCCAGCTGGGGGCCCGTGGCATTTTGCCGACTTGCCACCCTGTAGTTACGCCACTGATGCCACCCACTGTAAATACAAGCCCGCCGGCGTGTATTCCATTTGTAGTTTAGGTCAACATATCTATATTTTTTTATCACGGATTTATACGCATTTATTTAAACAGTTTAAAAAATTACTTTATACATATACAAAACAACAATATTTAAGAGAAAGATATATTTATAATTTTATATATTAATTTTGTTTTTTACATCACAATAGGTTCTAGTCATTATTAGTCTTATATGGCTAATCACTTTGATCACTGTGATAGGATATGTCTATAGTTGAACTACTAACATTGTCACAAACATGGGCTCCTTTCCTTACGGGCAAAACTTTCATCAGTGTCTCTTGCCACGATTGACCCCCACACACTCGCAACACTATTTCAAATACTGTAAAAGACCATTACATTATTATTGAGTATTTTATTTAAAAAAAAAAAACAATTTATATGTCACATATTGTGTAAAACAGATTAAAGTAAATAATAACAGTATCTTCTTTAGGAGCAGTATGAGATTATAATTACCATGGTCAATAGTTAACACTTTCCTAGTTTTCATATTTACGTATTTGTCTAATGGCAGTTGACCATGTCGGATGCCTTGTTCTTTAGCTATTGTATGGCATAAACCCTGGAAATGATTGTATTTATTTAAGTTATATATATATATATATATATATATATATATATATATATATATATATATATATATATATATATAAATTGTACTAAATTATAAATTGCAATACTTTAATTATATTATATGAATATGAAAATAATGCTTTAAAAATTTGGTTTGTAAAAGTTTGTTTTTCTTATATCTAACATAAATATGTTTTATCTTTATCTTTGTTATTTATGTACTGGGATAAAATGGTTTTATATTGTATTTGCCCAATTTGAAAATGTGTGTATGACATAACGATGATCATAATAAAATATGTCAAATCCATGAACCTTTCGAAAACTTATGTTATTAAATGATATTACTAACTTTGTGTTTGTTATGATCTACTAGTCCACCTATTATATAAAAAGTGTCTTCATCAAAACTTTCAATTATATTTTCTGATTCACTTGTTAGGTAAACAAGTTTTTCTTTAGAAAATAAGTCTAAATATGGCTCTTCATGAAACTCTACCTGAAAAAGAATGGCAAATTCACTATATTTTTATAATAATAATACAATTAAATATTTACTTTACATCCAACACCATTGCAATGTGTAAGATGTAAACATAAACAAAGTAAAGAAGAATGAGAAATTTATATTAACTGTGTTACAGCAATGCAAAAGGGCTAAGCATAAATTATATTATTAACATAAGAGCTATACAATGATTAAGCAATAGGGTGCTTTGAACTGAACAGAAAACAGGGAAAATCTAAAAATGATGACTTACCCCCCAATACAATCAGGCATTTTTTTATCAACTGTTTATAAACTTGACAATAAACAAACTTAAAAAATAAAAAAGCCTTTAATTAGAACAAACATATTGGTTGTTTAATGTAATGTTTGGAATTTCCCAGCTTTCATGAATACTCAAAGCACCCTATACAATTCAGATGGAAAATCAGATGTCAAATGACCACATGTTAAGGAACATTACACATTACAATAATAGCACATGCTAAAAAATCTTACATCCCAATTTTCATAACCATTGTGCCTTGATATATCATTCTTAGATTTCTGTCCGAAACTTGTTATGTGAAACTGTAATGGTGCCTCAGATCTTCTATTTACTGAATAACACCTAAGAATTTGTTTTATGACTTTATATCTATCTTTTTCTAACATAAGATGATCAAAACTCAAATCTATTATTATTCCTACATTTTTCTTATCTTTTTCTACTTTCATTTTCTTTAATGCTTTTCTACTAGGGCCTAAGTCGATATTAGATTCGCGAGCTTCCCGTCTTCTTTCTTTAGCTCTTGCCTTTTCTTTAGCTCGTTTATCTGCTTTGTGATTTTCCCATCGAACTTTCTTTAACCATTTTCTCATTTGATTCTTTGTAAATGGCCTAGGTAACTCTTTGCCTTCTTCATCTTTTAAGCCTGGATCAATACCTATATCAAATAAAGTATATTGATGAAAGTTAGGCTCTCCTTTTTGAAGTTCTTTACTGGGTTTAGTCTCACACATATTTTTATAACAAAATCAAACGCTACATTAAATTTACTTTAACCGCTTATTAACGTCGTTTCAACCGTGTATTGCTAACAACAGATTTATACTTTTGCTAGTAAAATAGGTACTTTAACATTTTTTATGTTTCTTCTTGTTTTAATTATTGGCGATGTTTCGCTCAGTTAATTTTATAATTTGTAGATTCTGCTTTACAAACACAATCGAACATAACCTTACTCTTTGACATAACCTAAAAAAAATATGATAATAAATACGAGCGTTGTATGTTATATGTGTGTTAACATGTCGATACCACAGAACAAGAGTCGATACTATCGTGACACACTGTGTTCATCAAAATCATCCTACGATACTATCGCTTATAATAATTAACAAATATGTCTTATAATTATATATATTATAATAAATATGAAAACGAATATCTATCATACTTCTTAAAAAATCCAAGGGAATTGCCACCATTATAAGCACATTTTACAATTTTTTCAACCATTTTAAAACCTTGCTGTCGTTTCATTCCGTATTATTAAGAATATTTCAAAATATGTTTATTTATTTAGGTACGTATCGAATCAACAAATCTAATTTAACTAATCTATTCTAATCTATCGAAAAAACTAACAGTCGATAATATTGAAAAAACGTGATAGTCTGAATAGTGAAAATGTATGAAAGTTGTAAATTATCGATAGGGGAATCATTTAAAGTGGAAACGGTTAAAGAACAGCACTATTGGGAGAATGACAGATTATTTTTTGATTAAAAAAAAGACAAAGGAATCTAATTTTTGAAACTATTATGCTTCTATATTAATTTCTTCGAAATATTTAATTAGTACAAGAAATAAAAATTTACCTTTTTGCTCTTCCTTTTACTAAGCTGGATAATATTATATTTTTGATTGCAAAAAACTCAATACAATCCTCAGACCACAATATTATACTACGTTATATTGTGAACCGTTAGAGAAGCTGCAGATTGAATTGAAAAGTTTTATTATAATAGAGAATCCATTAGTGAGTACAATTTGCAAATGCTATACCTAATTCAATTGATCCAGTTTTAGGCTATGTCAACGAATTCGATTTTCTTGGCACAAGATTAAGATTATAAGTACTACAGTATAGTATTATACATACGGCTTCATAATAAGGTATATTACTATAGGTAGGGTTTACTCTTCGGACTGTTTATGGTCAAGTGCTGGCCGTTAATATTTTAAATTATTACTTTTTCATATTCGAATTCGCGTGTTCGTGTTTTGCTGGTGAATAGTCTTTTTTTTCTGATCGAGACCAGCTTAGGGTGAGCATCGTAATATAATTATTGTAAGTGATTAAATGTAATTCTTATCAGAAATATATCAGGACTAAGGAGTTTTACCAGTTTTTTCATTGCGCCACCCACCTCCACCATTAGACTAAGTTGCCATAAGTCGCCATAGTACCTTACCTTAGAGTCATTCTGGCGGTATCATAAATGATTTCAAAATCAATCTGATCATGTTAACAAAATTGTCTAAGTATTCTCAATAGCACTAACGTAGTAATAAAAAACCACGAATCCAACATCCATTAAATATTTTTTTCTTGAAATTCAAGAATTCAAGATATTCCTAAAATTTTATACGATATAAGATCTTTAAATATACAAGAATGATTTAAATTTTATCTTATTCCAAAATTATCGGCAATCTCTCCAAATATGTAACAATATAAATCATCACTGTTATAAATCAAACCTCATTTCAGTTAATAATAAATAAATAATAATATTTAAATTTTATTGACAATGTCACATGTTATTGTTTTTCAATTCAATAAAATGTCTTCGTAGATGAACATCTAAAGTGTTATTTTTTGGTTAAAACGAGGCATAGTTCCTACAAGTAATAAATCCGAAGACCTGCAGGAACGTGAATTCACCACATCTGGCGACCGTGCTAAGAAATTTTGAAAATAAAATATACTTTACTGGTAAAATGGAACGCCATATCGCAGAGCGAAGAGGTATGAGGAGACTTTTTACTAGATGTGCCAATCAATTAGAGCAATCATTAGAATCGTCCAACAAAGCTGAAGTATCAGCTTTAATAAATAAATTATCAAAACACCATGACGATCTACAGCGCATCCAGAATAGTCTAATGTCATTAATGCTAGATGCAGAAGATCGTAATGATGATGAGATCGACAGTGAAATGGATGCGGCTGATGGTTATGAAAGTAAGTGGTATATTTTACATCAAAAAGCTACCGATTTTCTTGCTAAAACGTCATCGGAGCTATCCCTAGAGACAGTTAAAAGCATAGCAGAATCAAATAAGTCTGTAAATAATCGCATTCGCTTGCCGAAAATTGAATTACCAAAATTTGACGGCCATATAAAAAATTGGATTGGTTTTTGGGCACAATTTCGGAAAATACATGATAGTACAGACCTTAATAATGACGATAAAATGCATTATTTATTGCAAGCGATGGAAAGGGGTTCATGTGCTAGAGAGTTCATAGAAAGTTTTCCTCCTTCAGGAGATAATTATGGTAAAGCTATAAATCAACTAAAGTCTCGTTTCGGTAATGACGATATGATTATCGACTACTATGTAAGAGAATTGCTACAATTAGTGGTATCGAAAAATGTTTCGAAAATTTCTACAAGGCAGCTATATGATAAAATAATGACGTACATATTAGCTTTAGAGAGTCTCGGCCTTGTAAAAGATAAATATGCAACCTTCTTGTATCCATTGGTAGAGTCCGCATTACCAAATGACACATTACGAGCATGGCATAGATCACGTTGTCAATCAGTTGATAAGTCTCTGTCAAAATTATTAGAATTTATAAGACTAGAAGTCGAATCTGAGGAAAGAATACAATTAGCTCATATAGATGTAAAAGAAGGGCATTGTTCTACGGCAGCTTGTTTAATATCATCTTCTAAAAAAATTGAACAGAGAAAAGACACCGACAGATCTACCAAAATAGAAAATAATTGCGTTTGGTGTGACAAAGGCTACCATACAAGTTCAGAGTGCAAGATTGCTATGAAATTAAATTTAGAAGAAAGAAAGGAGTTTTTGAAAAAGAATAAGATTTGTTTTATTTGTTTGAAAAAAGGGCATATGTTAAAGCAATGTCGAAAAAGTCCAAAATGCGTAATTTGTGGCAAAAGACATCACGCACTGATGTGCAATGATTTACCGTCGTCTTCGAGTGCTCCAGCAGTGTTAAGCCAAGTAGAGGCGAACAAAACTGTATTGCTGCAAACGATAAAAGTTAAAATTTTTAATGGTAACAAGAATATGCAAATAAGAGCAATTTTAGATTCCGGAGCACAACGAAGTTTCATTAAAAAAGATATTGCAGAGAAAATGTCTTTATTACCTGTTGGAGAGTTATCATTGACACATAACGTATTTGGCGGTATAACAAAGAAACGTCTAAGTAAATTATATGATGTAAATATTAGTAATTTAGATGGATCTTACGTATGTGTTTTGAAGACCATAGAGCAACCAGAAATATGTGGTTACATACCGACTTTGAGAGACAATAAAATAATAAATGACTTAAAAAATAAAGGTATAGTACTTACGGACTGTATAGATGAACAATCTAATATTAGTTTATTAATCGGCAATGATTTTTTAGGTTCTTTATTGACGGGGCGGTCAGAACGCGTGGATGATAATCTTATTGCGATGGAAACCAAACTTGGTTGGACCCTTCAAGGACCGGCGGTCAGTGTTTATTGCTCCTTAGATAATATAACCACTTTACATGCTTCGTTGTCCTATAATATCGAAAATTTTTGGGATTTAGAAACATTGGGAATCAAAGATGAGGCAGAGGTAAAGAGGTTGAAGGTTTTAGAATCAGAAGCCGAAACATTTTTTAGAAACACTATACAGACTGATAGTGAAGGTAGGTATGAAGTGAGATTACCTTGGAAAGAGTTGTACACAGATTTAGATACGAACTATTATTCATCTTTAAAACGGCTTCAATCTACCACCAATAGATTAATTAAATTAGGTATATTGGATGAGTACAATAAGGTCTTTGAAGAGTGGTTAGAGTCTGGTATAATTGAAGAAGTGGAAGATGACAATTGTAGTATAGGGCATTATATGCCACATCATGCTGTTATAAAAGAGGAAAGCTTAACTACCAAAATCAGACCCGTGTTTGATGCTTCAGCTTTAGATAGCAATGGGTTTTCATTAAATTCATGTCTAAGTAAAGGTGTTAACTTAATTGAATTAATTCCAAAGCTTTTAATTCAATTTCGGAAGCATAAAATAGGTATTACCGCGGATATTAAAAAGGCATTCCTACAGATTTCATTACATCCTAAAGATCGCGAATATCTTAAATTTTTGTGGTGGCGAGATGTTACAGCGACAACAAAGATATTAAAAACATTCAGACATAAAAGAGTTGTTTTTGGGGTCACATGTAGTCCTTATCTTCTTTCTGCTACCATTTTATATCATCTTAATAAATATAATGATAATGATGTTGCAACTATTTTAAAGAAATCGTTCTACGTTGACAATTGTGTAGTCAGTGTACAGACTTTGCAAGAGATGCACAATTTTATAGATGAGGCGAAGAGAATTATGCTTGAAGGATTATTTGAGCTTAGGTGTTGGGTTACAGGGCCGGAGTTAGTTGACAAAGATATACTGAATGTATCTGTTTTAGGTTTAAATTGGAATCCAACTCAGGATCTGTTGACTTGCAAATTTTCTACTAACAAGAAGTCTAATAATATTACTAAAAGAGTTCTACTATCCCTAGCGCAAAGTGTTTTTGATCCGTTAGGATTTCTTAGCCCAGCAACTATAGTACCTAAATTAATCATTCAAAAATGCTGGATCATGAATATTGATTGGGATCAGAGTTTACCAAATGAATTGACCAAACTAACGCAAGAGTGGATACGTCAAATGAACGTATTTCATAGTTGTTGTATTCCACGAAGGTTAAGTACACACGATATAAATTTAACTGATAATAGCCTTCATATATTTTGTGACGGTAGCAAATCAGCCTATGCTTGTTGTATATTCTTACGCTCGGAGTTTAAGAGTGAAGTATCTGTTCAGTTAATAATGGCTAAAGCAAGGGTAGCCCCGACAAAGGCAGTAACTATACCTAGGATCGAATTACTTGCGGCATTGATGGCTTCGAGATTGGCGAGTGAGGTTAGAGATAGCTTAGAGTTACCTTGTAAGGAATATTACTGGACCGATTCGAGCATAGTATTAGCATGGTTAAGGAAAAAAGTAGGTTTTAATGTGTTCGTACACAACAGAGTAAAAGAGATTCTTGATAGAACAAATATCGCTAATTGGCATCATATATCGGGGGATTTAAACCCTGCTGATCTCCCTTCAAGAGGATGTAACCCACAAGTTTTACTAGAAAGTAAATGGTGGTTAGGTCCTACTTGGTTAAAAGAAAACAGTTTAAATTGGCCTCATTCTGTAGAAACAACAGATGTTACAGAGATAGAAAAAGAGTTTAGTTCAGTTTTAATAAATGTAGAGGAAAAAGATAGATTCTCTAATAAGTTTTTATATTTTAGCGATTATTTAAAAATAGTTAGGATGATAGGTTGGTGTCTTAGGTTTATATTTAATTCGAAAAAGCTAAATAAACGTTTAGGGAATTTACGTAATGATGAGATTTTGGAAGCTGAAAAAAGGTTATTTATAATGTTACAAATAGATTATTTAATGAACACAAATAAGTTACCGAATCTGGAATTAGTAAAGGACAATTATGGTGTTCTTCGTGTCAAAACGCGACTAATGTTGAGTAATGATACTGAAAATTTTATTATGCCTATTTTACTTCCTAAGTGTCAAATAGTAGAACGTTTAACAGTGCACTTTCACAGAAAGTTCTCACATGCAGGTTCCCAAACTTTAATATCTAAATTACGCGAACTTTATTGGATATTAGGTATCAGGAAAATGGCTAATCGCGTTGTTAATAGTTGTATGATTTGCAAACGGTTCAGTGCCAAAGCTTGTGTTGCTCCTATACCACCATTACCTGCAGATCGCGTTGAATGTAGCGGTCCGTTTGAAGTTACGGGGATAGATTTTGCAGGGCCATTATATCTGAGATCTGGGGAGAAGTGCTGGCTGTCCTTATTCACTTGTGCTGTGTATCGCGCGGTTCATTTAGAGCTCTGTGTTTCGTTATCTACCGAAGAATTTATGATGTCTCTTCGTAGATTTTTAGCTAGACGAGGGAATGTTAAGGTTATATACAGCGATAATGGAACAAACTTTAGAGGTGCAAGTAATGTTTTTGATAACATAAATTGGGAAACAGTAGAATCTAAAACTGATAGGATTTTATGGCGCTTTAGTCCACCCGCAGCGCCATGGTGGGGAGGATTTTGGGAGCGAATGGTAAGAACTGTCAAAGAACTTTTAAGGCGTGTTTTAGGTAGAGCAGCATTATCTTTTAATGAGTTATCAACCGTCATTTGTGAGGTAGAGGCGATTGTAAATTCGCGTCCGCTCACGTATATTGCGGATAATTCAGAAAATGTTCAACCTCTTACACCCGCTTCATTTTTACTATTTTATAAGACAAATAGTAGCAATACTTTTGATATCGATTTGATAGATGGTCATATTTTGACATCACGGTGGCGCTACATTAAGAAACTATGTTCTGATTTGAAACATCGTTTTCGCAGTGAATATTTAGGCTTACTAGTCACTAAATGTAATAAAAATAAAAATAATTCTTTAAAACCCGGGGATATTGTACTACTTGAGGTTAGTGACAAGAAGCGTATACAGTGGCCACTGGGTTTAGTATTAGAATGTATGGGAGGTTCTGACGGTGTCAATAGAGTTGCTCGTCTTAGGACATCGTCGGGAGAACGTTTAAGAGCTGTACAGTCTCTGTACCCACTAGAGTTATCTAGTGTGGAATCTGCTTATTTGAATAATCGCAGTGAGAGCAACAAACACAATACTGCAATAGGTATTCAACGAGAAGTACAAGGTGAACTTAGAACGCGTTCTGGCCGACTCGTCAGAATACCAGATAAGTTAAAATTTTAGTTTTGAACATAGTATTAATAAATTTTATAAGGTATGTATTGTGTTTAGGATATTGTTAGTATGTATAGTTTTTAATTTTATTTTGTACTTTGTATTATGAGTGTGCTATGTGTGTATGGCGTAAGAAGGCACATGTTGTTGTCAACCAGTGCCATGGTGGGGAGGATGTTATAAATCAAACCTCATTTCAGTTAATAATAAATAAATAATAATATTTAAATTTTATTGACAATGTCACATGTTATTGTTTTTCAATTCAATAAAATGTCTTCGTAGATGAACATCTAAAGTGTTATTTTTTGGTTAAAACGAGGCATAGTTCCTACAAGTAATAAATCCGAAGACCTGCAGGAACGTGAATTCACCACAATCACTATCAAGTTATCAATATAAGAACCGCTATAAAATTGTACTAAATGAAAGCAATGAATTCTTTTACAATATTTTTAAATCTTATAGGAAACTTATACGAATATAAAAAAAATGTATGAATAATTTTGAATATTCATATAAAACATTAAGAAACTTTTTCCTCGACCTATTGTATATATTTGAAATGTGATAATTAAGCCCTTTCATTTGATACTCTACACGGAATGAGTGAAATATATTGTTTTGTTTTTTACTTTATGCTCTCTAGAGGACACTATTGCTACTTTAATGTAATGTCACTTAATATTGTTCTGTGGTCTTTAGCACGCGGACAACTAAGACGCTTCTAATGATACCTCATTTGTCCAGTTACGACGAGTAGTTGTTAAGTTATAAGGGAACAAATGAACGTTCATACATACAATATACTGGCTAAACTCATAACCCTCCTTTTCGATTCGCCGTAGTCGGGTAAAAATAACTAGCACACAAACACATAGCTACAGTCAACATTTTCAGCGTTGACATGTCAAATATTTATTTTAACCTTCTTGAACTCGTTTTAAGATAAGACTGCAGAAAATAAATAATTGTATTTATCACGTGAGCTGTGTCCCTAATATCTTCAGTTTGTACGAGCACATCATATAACATGGCAGTATGTATTTTATTAATATACCTATTATACTCTAATTTAGATAAGAAGTTTTTTCCCGCGTAAATTAAAGCCTATTTCACCCACATAGCTCCCCGTTAGTGACAGAATGTTCGTGATCGGATCAGTATTTCTGAAGATTATAGCCACTATAAAACAAAGTTAGAATCTTAACTTACCTCTTTAAAATATTAGTTTAAACTTAAAATTAGTGGAATACCATTAGTGGAATATTAGTTTAAACTTAAAATTAGTGGAATACCATTATGGGGTGTTATTTTTACTTAATTATTATTTTCTTATTTAATTTTTTTATCAACCCATGTTGTTAATTCAATTATTGTTGTTGTTACGTCAATAATTAATTAGTAACATAAATTTTGATGCTTGTTTTGAGAGATGTTTACTAATTGAAGAATCATCTGTTTTGACTTCGCGATTGCATCGTATTTTCATCAATCATTATTTATACAATGACCATGATGTTTAATCCCATCTATATCAGTATTGTTCACGTCAGATCCCTTTTTTTATAATGCCCTTACTAGGCGGGGGAAGAATCCGGGATCTTGCATAGATAGCTCCGGAGTACATCAGATGCTTTCCAGGGTAGCAAATAATAAAATCCAAGTGGTTGAAATTCTATTGAGATGCGTTTATAACGTAAACATAAACTGGATTAGCCTGCTGCAGAATGGCTCCTTACATAGCGAAGCTGGCGTAGCGATTGTATTTTCACAATGTGAATAGAAGTGACATTACTTGCGTGACTAGTTTCATTAAAAATATGAGCATTGCGTGAAACTACTTTAAGACGCCATCTCCACGAGCGAGACTGCGATATTATCGTTTTTTTTTTTTTTTTTTTTTTCGGTTCTCAACCTTATGGGCTCGGAACCACCTTCCCATCAACGGAGGAAGGAGGCGGTGAATCCTTCATTGGATACCAACACAGCCGGCTGTGAGGGTTATGTCAGACTCCTACTGACTAAACACCGCCTTAGACTACTGGTTGCGTGCCCTGACGGGGCAACGAACCTTCACCGGAGCGACTGCCCCCCCGCAAGGGGGGGGGCAGCGCAGACGTCCCTATTCACTTACATGAATAGTGACGTCGAGATGTATAGCCGTTAACCCCGGGGCACATCGGATTGAAATACAGCTGACTCCCTGAAGGGGAACGATCAGCCAGAGTTGATGGGGGTTGACCTGAAGGGTCGTGGAGGGCAGGGGGGGAGCTATCACGTACCATCAGAAGGGTGCTACGTGATGCCCTTACAAGTGCGGCCGCTACCCTGAAGGGATAGCAGTCGAAGTGGACGGAGACGGGGGTTGACCTGAGGGGTCGGGAGGGGAAGGAGCGGGATCCGCTTGCTGGGCCTCCAGGAGGAGGTCCAGGTCGGCGGAAAGTTTGGATAAATATTATCGTCGTATACGTATTTATATATACTCTCTAAGCGTCTCCACGCGGCGATGTACGCATCGCCATTGGAGGCACTGTCAAATGCAGCATTATTTTATCTAATCTATCATAAAGAATTATTTTATCTATTGAGATACTACTATTTTGCTCTCATCTGGCATCTAACTGAACTCTTTCAACAAATACAAAAAAAAGAACGCATCGTCACGTGCAATTGCTAGCGAAATTAATGCAATAAAACTAGTTTCATACAAATACTTTCGTTTTTTAAACGCTCGCTTTTTATGGCTTCTGAAATCACCTCCTGATACATCTAATGTCTATCAATTTCGTCATTATTTTATCCGTCATTTACACGGACACTTTCGTTCAGATAATAAATAATTATACACCGTTAACTCCAGGATAGATACCAGTTATGGGGAGGATGTTTTGAGGAAGAACCTTCTGCCGTACTGAAACGCTTAAACGACTCCCTTGGAGTGGACAGCAGACTCTATCGAGAGGATGTCTTCGGTAGCAAAGCGTGGGCTCGAGAGCTGTTCCGCAGCGGTCATCTATCACAAAATGACCACGACGCTCTACAAAGCGGACTTGATAAGGCAGCATAAATATGTTTTTATTAAACATTCGTTTTTAGTATGACTTCAATATATATCTATACACGCCGTGCTTGATGATTCGTATTTGTATATTGCTAAATAAATGGGGAGATCTATCTTCGTGAAATATATCTCGACAGGATTCATTATATTATTGTATATTATAGAATACTAAATCGTAGACAAATGATTATTCCCAAATTCTATTGGTATTAGAATAAGCAAAAGTAAAGGCAACGATTATTACGACATTCAGGCAAAACATCTGTTTACTTGTAAATAATAACTTCATATATAAACCAATAGGGATATTGTTGCATTGCTGACAGGTTGTGCAAGAAATAGAGCAGGACTTATCTCTGAAGGGTAGCCTCAAGGATCCTGAAGAAGATATTCACTCTGTGGTGGAAAGACGCCTGCACACACATGCAGGGGAAGCTGCATTACGGTTGCATACTGCTCGTAGCCGCAACGATCAGTCTGCTACTGATACACGATTGTGGATGTTGGCATCTACGCATAGATTACGTAACACTCTCATAGAACTTATTACGGTAAGTATAATGAGGTGAAAGCATAGTGACTTGTGAATAGGTAGAAGTACTCTTTACAAAACACTAAAAATTCCTTGCTAATAAACGTAATCTTTTAGGTGCTAGTAAAGAGAGCCGAAATGGAAATCGATATCATCGCTCCTGGCTACACACACTTGCAACGTGCACAACCCGTACGCTGGAGTCATTTTCTATTAAGGTATGCAGATTTTTTACTAGACAAAGTATAATAAACTTTATAAACATTAATTTACCCTTGATTTATTTTCCTAGTCACACATGGTCTCTCAAAGATGACGTTATGAGACTAGAAGAGCAAATGAAACGCATATCCCGATGCCCTCTCGGCAGCGGAGCAATTGCCGGGTGCGCGCTAGCTATAGACAGGAACAGACTAGCTCGCGACTTGGGATTTGAAGATGTTACACCAAATTCCATGTTTGCTGTTAGTTCTAGAGATCATATAGGTAAAAATAATATTAACATTGTATATTAAAATCTACCTAATTGTTGGGGCTGAGCTGACGTGGTAATTTTTTTACTTCACAGTTGAATTCCTCAACTGGGCAACTTTATGCAGTCTCCACCTTAGCAGATTAGCCGAAGATTTAATTATATATAGCTCTCAAGAATTCGGCTTCATACGTTTTTCCGATCAATTTTCCACGGGTTCTAGTTTGATGCCCCAAAAACGAAACCCCGATGGATTAGAACTGGTGCGTGGAGCAGCGGGACTTATGTTGGGAACTTCGGTTGCATTCAATTGCGTATTAAAAGGACTACCGAGTACATACAATAAGGATTTGCAGTCCGACAAAGAGCTATTATTTGCATCTTATGACAAACTTTTAGATTGTCTAAAAGTAGTCACCGGATCAGTCAAAACCATGGAAGTGAGTACAAACATTCCAAAGAATCCAATTATTGTGATTAGTTACTGTTGATTACTTTCACATTTATTATTTTTGTTCTTTCGAATAAAATTAAACTTCATAGACACTTCTTTTTCAAAAGCGAAATAATAATAAAACTTTTAAGTCGTACCACCGGCACTCCACGTATAAAATCAGTTTTGTCAGTTGGCGCGCGAGAATACTCTGACACATAAGTGCGTTCCCCGGATCTGTGAAACCATCCAATTTCCCTAGATTGGATGGTTTTACTGGCTGATAGCCATTCTTATATCCACTGGTCCAAAATTTTGTAGAATTTTCACATAATTCTGATTGACAATAATGCTTCACCCTAAGGCCAAGACTGACTCTACATTTACATGACCCTGTTCGTATTAAACACACTGTATTTTAATAGCCCCTTACAAATATGCTGTGATAAATCGTTAAATTTGAAATAAATCAGGTAAATCGTGAGAAAGCGCAAAGTGCATTAGAACCAGGGATGTTAGCCACAGACATTGCGCACGCACTCGTACGGCGCGGGGTACCGTTCCGGCGGGCACACCACCTCGTTGGAGCAGTCCTGCGTCGTGCCACCGCACTGGGAGTAGACTTGCAGCATATGTCGCATGCCGAATATTTGGCTATATGGTAAGTATTCATACAGCAGCAACAATAGGTGGAAAAAAGTTGCGACATAGGTACTGTCGACTGTACAATATATGAGACCCTAAACTGTAATCCTGCCTTTTTTTATCCCGAAGGGAACTAGCCTTAACATTTCATCGACCTGGACTAAAGGCCTACTAAACCCGGGCTCTCCCACTTCAAGGGACGGCGGTCCCGTGCAGTGGGCCTACCGTGCAAAACCCTCCGCACTAGCCTCTCGCTTAGTCCGGTACCTGGTATCTTAAAATAAGTCCCAGGTAGAAGCTGTAATCCTACCTACTGTTAATACATTATCAACACTTTTACTTCCCCACTGCATGGGCTCTTCCTTGTCTATGGTACCGGAACATTTGCATCCATGCTGGCCCAATATGGATTAAAAAGTATTAACAACTGCTAATGCAACCGTGATCAATTGCTTAACGTGCCTTCGAAGTAGCTCAAGATTTTTTAATACAAGCATCATTATTTTTTTTCGTTTATTATTGCTCTCTATATCTTCCGTCCGATCCCTAGAAATGTAGGCAGAGGGAACTGAGTGCCATAAAGCACAGTCCTAAAGTAGGAAGATACATCTTTCGCCTCCATGATTTCATTACTCTTTTCTTTCATCTTATATGCTCGCCGGGTGTTTGACTTCTGACATCACCTTCCAATAGTCCCTATGATCGATTAAATTGTGAAAGGTGTATCCTATCCTTCCACTGCCTGGTTTTATACATCAGTCTTTAAACAAACATGATGTTTAATTCCACAGTCCTGATTTCGGTAGTGAGGAAGAGTTACGTGCCATATTTTCATGGGAAGCAAGTGTAGAGCAATACACGAGCGTTGGAGGTACTTCTATGTCATCGGTACGAGTTCAGCTTCAAGAACTCAACACTTGGATCAACCAGACTCAAAAATGATGTATAATTATATAATAATATGAATAAAGATATAATAATATCTTAATCTTTTATCAAGGTCATTGAAATATCTATTATTCTACAATATTTTTAAACTTTTTTCAAGATTTTTCCTGTCCAACAATGAAAACTGCAACAAAATCTTTTCGTCGAAATGGAACTGTTCAAATTATTTAACACTAGCTGGTGCCCGCAACTTCGTATGTGGAATTCATGAAATAGTTGTCTGATTACTGAAAATTTACAGCATTTCTTTGTACACAACATTGGTTATTTTTCCAATAAACAAGCCCGCACCACTACGACTCGCGAAAAATGTTGACCACAAAACACCTACATTATTGCAAAAAAATAACGTAAAGAACGGATAATATCGCTAGCGTGTTATCCTAATATTGGTCATCGTTAAGCAGGTGAAGAGCCATGAGAGTTGCTTGAACAGCAGGATCCTCAACAATTTTTATAAAAATAAATCAATTTGGTCCTCAAAATGCATAAAGCAACAGGCGCAAAAACTAACATTAACCATTATTAGAATAAACTGTATACACTCTACCTAATGGCAAATAGCGTTAAAGTCAACAGGAAATGCTTATCAGACTGAACTACTTTCGATAACACGTCATTCTAGATGCTGAGATCTAAGAGATCCATATCAGATATTCTAAATCTTCGAATTTTAATTGCGGTACAGAAAATGCTGATCTTATTAAACAACTTTTGCTAAGACTTCAGTGCTGTATATGTTATAATGTTAGTGGTCTACTGGAGTTTCAGATCTTCGATTTTTATGAGTCAACAGAAAATGCTTATTATTTTGAATAACTTCTTTTTAAACATCGTTTCTCTAAGTCGTTATAGTGCAGCGGACTCTTATAGTTCCACATCAGATGTTTTAAATCTTCTTATTTTAACCACGCAGCAAATATGCCTTTGGGGTGGAACAATTGTTGCTATTTCTATATCTTTAACTGTTTCGTAGGTCTCCTAGGGTTCCACATGATAGAGACCAGCCATCAAAATGAATTACAGCCTGTACAACGACCATGATTCATAGATTCAAAATAAAAAATAAAATCCGTTCAGTAGTTTCAGAGATTAACGCGTGCATCCAAACAAACAACTATCGGGTTGGCACAAAAGTAATGAGACACTTGGTTTAAGTTTTTACTTTTTTATTATTATTACAATAAAAAAAGTTTAGTCAATGATGTAATTACAATTAGTATCTAAGACTTCTTGCCAACGATCCGGCAAAGCTTGGATGCCTTTTGCCCAGAACTCTGATGGCTGTGCCTCGAAAAAGTTGTTCAACTCCGCCTCTACGTCAGAGAAATCATTAAATTATTTACCCCGCAAATGCTGTTTCAGGGCTCTAAACAAATGATAGTCTGATGGGGCGAGGTCTGGGGAATAAGGTGGGTGGGGTATCGTCTCCCAGCCCAAGTTCTCCAACTGCCGGCGAACCACAGATGCGACGTGAGGTCGAGCGTTATCGTGCAGTAAAACTACATTGACTCGTCTTCGTCGTTTTTTCTTGATAGCGGCAGATAATTTGGTAAGCTGGGTTGAATATTGTAATAGCTCATAAAACAGTATGCCTTGCGCATCCCAGAAACAGCAAAGCAGAATTTTTCGGCGGTTCTTTTGACTCGGCTTCGGTTGAGTTGGTGGCGTTTCTTCTCGAGGCAGCCAAAAAGCACGACGTGTATAGTTCTCGTAATAAATCCATGATTCATCTCCAGTAACCAGATCTGACAAAAACTCTTTACGTCGGGGTCGCAGCAAAAGTGACTGACAGATAGCGACACGGACTGCACGACTGGCGTCTGTAAGGATGTGCGGTACCCACCGAGCCAAAACTTTTCGATAACCAAGCTCATGCAGATGGTGTTCCACGGCGTGGTGACTGCATTTAAGTGCTTCCGCTAATTCACGAGTGGTAGCATCCGGATTCAACTGCAGTTCGCCGCGCAAATCGTCATCATTCACTGCGGGTGGTCGCCCTGAGCGTGGCTGACTTTCATGGCTCCTGTCTCCTGATTTAAAACGGTCAAACCATCGGGACACCGTCGCATGGCTTGTACTTCCAGCGCCTAATGCATTGTTGATATTGTCAGCCGCAGACCGCGCACTGTGGCCTAACAAGTACTCGTATAAGTATAGTGTTCGAACTTGACGCTCGTCCATTTTCCTTCAAACTGACTAAACAAATCGCGACCGCGGCTTTATATACCCTACACCAGAAGTACCTAGAATGTTCTACAACATTCTAGAATATTATCGAAAAAATTGATTTTAAAAAGGAAATGTTATAGATTTTTCTAGTGTGTCTCATTACTTTTGTGCCAACCCAATAGATAGACAAAAAAAAATAAAAATCGTTAAACTGTATTCTGTTGTTGTTTTATTCTCGCCCTAAATCAATTTTAAGGAAATATATATATAAATATATAATACAAACACATTTTTATTACTATTTTATTATAGTATGTTATAAAACCAAATATTAACTTTCTTTTACTTTATTAATTGGGTGCTATAATTAGCTTAACGAAATCCTTAATAAATTCCTATATGCGTAAATTTAATACATTTGAAAGTTTTAGTAGATATTGACATAATCGATTTACCAGTTCTTATATATTTGTCAAATCCATACAAATATCACGGTCTAAATTACAGTAGATTTATATATTTTTTGTATTGGATTTCATTCATTATAATTCCTGGTATAGCTATGCATTTAGAGAAAAAATGTAGGCTTTCGTAATTTCATTTATAGTGATTAGATTAGATCAACTATTTGCAACAAGTTCCTAGGCATTGCAATCGAATTAACAAGCAAACACATAAAAGTTTATCATTCATTCCTACTGACCACCTGTGGAATAAACAATGGATATTTTTTTTAGTTGGACGCCTAGATAATTGTTATCTATGTAGGCATAAACCTCAATCGATTTTCTTTATAAAGAATAATAGACATTTATACGAAATAATAAAGATGTCTACGTTTGCCATTTTAGGGCTCCTACTTAACCGATACTTACATACCGTAAAGTTTCCGAGTTGTCAAGTCCGTGGCCTACGGCATCGGCAGGGCCACGAGCCACCCTTGACACCTGTCTCGCGCACCACTCCGTGGGCCGCCAACTGCTCACTCCCCTCACGCCAGGCGGAAAAACGGTACACCACAATATTCTGTTTAGGGGCGCCATAAAACAGAATATAAATAAAATTCGTAGAGTATAGTGTGTGGGCCGAGGTTCGCGAGCCGATTTCATGGTGTCACATCCCCGTTTCGGTTTGGTGAAATTGATTTTGATCTGGGAATTTATGGTACCTTAATTGGTTCCATCAGATATCTATAACACAATGGTAATAAATAAACGTTGAGTTGTTCATTGAACAGTCAAGAGCACGTCATATAATACAAAACTATCAAGGAAGATGCAATAGTACAAAATCAATTGAAGTGAAAAATGTGGTAACCTGACGTGTTGCTGTGTATGCAATTGACATTGTAGTTACTATCCTATAAAAATTATATTTAAATATATTGTTATGCAAGGCACAGCCCTATCGCCCTATAAGTATGCCTATAACATTAAAGGTATTGGACGATACCGTTTTATAGGATTCCGCGAATAAATTAAATAGAAAAATAAATCGTCAAAAAACAGAAATCAAATATGTTCCATCAAAATTAACCTTAATAACTTCTAATTCGAAAAATTAAGAAACAATGAAACTATTTTTTACTAACTACATATTCGTACATCTAACATTTAACAAAAAGAATTGTGTCTCGAAAATGAGGCGCCTAAAATAATTTTATTAGGGAACCAAAAAAGTGGGCGTTTTAAAATGAATATGGTTCGTTTTCGAAACGAGCTCAAGAATCAACTTGAAATAAAAGAATTGCTTTTTTATACGGAATCATATTTGCGCAAGACAAAATTGGAGCATAATTATTTTTTTTCTATATCGAATCGAACTGTTATACAAAAAAGCCTTCGCCAGACGTAAACGGTGCCTGTGGTGCTAGCTTGTGCTCACAATATACAGGAGGGCGCTCGTTTTGTTTGGCGTTACGTTTTGATTTCAATTAGTAATGTGAGTTGATGTTTTTATTTTTAAATCTACTTATTCTAAACAAAACCTCCTTCAAACACAACTTAAACGAAGTTCATTATGTATTTCTATCCGCGTGTGTTTTTTATTATTGTGTAGTAAGAAAACAAGACAAAATCAACAGATAATATCGAAGGTGATCGATTGGGCGTAAACAGAAATTTCGTTAATTTCTCTATAGAAAAAAGTTACAACAAGGCTTCTAAAATCTAAATTTACTATATTTTTAATTTTACCTAGTAATAATCGTTCTATATTTAGTGAAAATTGTTAAGCATGCGAGTCACTATTATACCGTGGTATGTAAATGTTTACTAATATTATAAAGATAAATAATTGTATTGTTTAATTGTTTGCATTTGTTACCCTTTTGTTATAGGGTAAATTTGTTAACTATTAAAATAATTCTATTTATTTTATTTCACCATCATTTGGGGAGAAAGATAACGTGTCGTCTATCGTCTTTGGGATTCTGCAGAATCCTATTGCACAGCTATTTATGTACCTACCAAATTACTTCACGAAACTAGTATCACGCGCATGATGTAACAAGTTTTATGAAAATATTTTCAGAACATTTGAAACTAGTTACGTAATATACACAGATTGTGTAGAATAATAGTTTGGCTATGTAAATCGTGGTGAATTTAGTTGCGCGACACTTATTTCATCAAAATTAAGCGCATGGCACGAAACTACTGCATGCATTGTGCATGTAAAACTGCTAGCGAAATTAATGAAATGAAACTAGTTTCACGCAACTAATTCAATATAAATTCGGCCTTAATGACCATTTGATTTATATTCAAAAAATAAAGTATCAACATAAACCAATAACTAGACGTATCTATTCGGCATTAGAGATAAAAAGAGGTTTTATAAATTATCTACCTAATTTGCAAGAAGTATAATTAAAAGCTTCCGATTCCGATAAGCAAAGCTCCGCATGTTCGGTTCCTTTCAATTATGCCATTAAGCCTAATCCTTCGAGGATTAGTAAACTGGGCGTCACAATTGTGAAACTGCATAATTGATTTTTATTTAAGGTAAGGGAATAATTATAGCAGTATTTAAAATATAGTTTATTGAATCCTAATGCAATTATGTTTCGCTATACTGTGAAATGTGTTTTGGATTATTTTAATTTGAAGAATTTATTTAGATGTTTTATTAAAATCACTTTTAATATTACCATATCGTATATTAATTAGCAACTAAGAAAAACGATATTTTTAGTAACTCAAATAACACCTATAGGTATATGTCGGAAGCTGTATCTAATACTGTATTAGGTTAAGGTTCTTTCACTTTTAACAAACTAGCTTTAAACTCTAATTTTAAATTAAGGTGTCAATTCTGTTCCAGTCTCTAAACTAAGTTATTATGATTAAAAGTAAATTTTGTCTTGTGGAACAGAATTGCTACCGATGCTTTGCTATTCTGTAAAAAAAATCAGCGTCGAACTCAACCGTCGAGCACAACGCTGTCACAGTTTAGAGGTGAGGTAATAAAAGTTTTAGATTGAATCTCCATGGTCCTACAGCGCTGTGCTCGATGTGGCGTTTGATGGTGCTTTTTTAAATACTAGCTATTTATGACATAAAATACTTAAGGACTTTGAATGATATCCTTTATGTGAATACTTCACTCTATCTTCAAATTCAAATAAACATTTTTAGAGAGAATAATGGTATCGGCATTGATTTATATCGCGTTCTTCATTTTACTGACGATACTTCCACAAGCATCCTTCGAAGCTCCCGATGACTACGACTATGAATCTTTAAGCAACGGAGCACAAGAACTACCCGAGGATACCCACCCTGATGATGAGGTGGGTGATTAAATAATGAAAATATTTCGATAGAATATTATAACCATATCCGTCTACGTAACACTTAATTAACTCTTCAATACTTTTGACTCAGTCATAAAAGTTATAATTGAAAATAATAATAAGCTGATTTTTTTTTAATGGAAAATTTGTCTCTTCAAATTACAATTCGCGATTATTCACACAAGTTATTGTTCTTTATTATGCGAATTTACAAGTTCCTTTAAGGAAATAAAGATCGATATTGAAATGCAAATAATTGAATATAATACTTTGGGTACTCTTGGCGCCCAACGTGGGGCTCAGCTGTTGATATGCACTTGGCCTATTGCTTTCTTCTTTGTTTATTATGGACAGTGACCTTAAAATTGCTCTTTTAAGAACTTCTTACTTCATTGGGGATACATAAAAATCTTATATACAAATAAATTTTCCAATAACTTATATCATTTTATTACTATCTTAGTGATGGTGTAGCCATAGTAGTTTCCTGTGCTGGGCAATGTAAGCTAAACGTTACAATGGTAACAATTCTATTATGACATCTCTCAACTAAAAAAACTAATTTTAATAACGAAATATAATTTATCATCTTAACTGTTATCTTAGATAATTACAGAAATTAAAAAACAGTTTGAAAGGATCAAAACTAAATTTAGTCTAGTTTGTTCAACAGAATTGTCACCAATATGGCATAAATTATGCGACGACGAAAAAAGTACTTTGTGCGCAAATATTTTTTTAAAGTCCAAAGAATATGTTTGGTAGCAAATGTTCTTGACTTAAACGTACAGAGTACCATTAGTTATATTTTTCTAATTTAATATCTTTCCAGTACGTACGTCGGATACATTCAATGATCGACTCGTACAGAAGCAGTATAAACGGACGCATGGTGATCGAAAGTAACGCACTCATCAACACCAAATATCGGATATGGAAAAGGAATGCCGATTTAATCAATTCACTGCTGGCGTTACCAAAAGACATGAATGATGTTGGACGCCGTTGAAATATGGCTGACTTTATTATACATAAACAGCCCCGACTTAGGATTTGAACAATTGACTACTTGATAGTTATAACAATAACTATATGTAGTATTTTTTATTTCAAAATAAATTGTAAGTGTAGTTTATTTTTGTAATATCAACTCTTGGATTACAAGCAACAAAACGCGGGCGACGGACGGAGACACGTTATGTCTGTGAGCATTGTATGACGTCACATTTCAATTTATTAGAAATAAGCTCATAGAGGATTGGAAATAAATAAAAATCTGTTTGTCAAAACAATATAATTATTATTTCGAATGTAACCTAGTACATACTAATTAGCCTATATTAAATCTAGATAACGCCTGCAAAGTGGTTGACCACTATGAATACAAATAGTCTATATACAGTTACTTATCATAACAATCTGATTATTACATTGTGCATCAAATTGTTTGGTGTGAACAGTTTATTGTTTATTTATCGTGTCCAATTTCAAACAGCATTCATAATAGTTTGTAGAACTTTTTCAATGTTATTTTAAAATTGTTATTCCACTGCTATTACAAAAATATATTATCAGCTCAGTAAGTACAATGATAAATTTATTTTTCTTTAAACGAATATATTTACAGTACATGTTATTTAGACATTGTAGAGTCCTTACGCCGATTTTGCTTTGCAACATAATTATAGAAAACGAATATCACCTTCCGTAGTTAAATATGGCTTCGACATAATATAGTTATCGAATTATAATTACTAAGAATCGACGAGGTAACTGTCTAAAAATATGGTTCAAATACCCTATAGCACTCGCTACGACTTTCATTTATGACGAAATAACATTGGGTTGAGAAAAGAATTTTACGAAAAATTAACTAAACTCATACAATAAAATAAAATGTACAGCGAAGTATATCAAAGTGTAGATGTGATGACAAAACAGTATAACGACACTAAAAAACATCCAGCTACCGTCCTCTTTTTCTCGTACTATCCATTTATTACGCGTACACAAATAAAATCGTAAAGAAAATATTATCATATTAACTAACACTAGTTGTTAAATTTCTTTTTTATAAAAATCAACCAAAGTATTAAACTAAACATGTCAAAACAGTGACATCGCATCTGCGACGTCTCGATATCAGTGCAAACTAGGGTTGTCAACTGTACTCTAAAATAACATCATTGTACTCTGATGTAGGCGAACTCTAAATTTTAAAACACTAATAAAGGATGCTAAAATACATTTTCACACTATATTTAAGATACTAATGCCAATTACACATAATCGACGCATACCTATCACAAAAAAAGTGAAACAATACAGAAAATACCTATTTGAAAATGCTAAACAAATTATACTTACTCTTTATTTACCTCGATGGTTATTAGTACTCTTAATTGGTTGGATGTTTGGTTGTCAAACCAGTAGTATTTCTTCTAACAAAAATTGACAACCCTAGCGCAAACGTAGCAAAGTCGTAGGAAGGGATGACGCCTAGTTACCCGAGTCGCGTTTTCGTAGGCGCCATAGTGGGGGGCGTATACTAGAACTTGAGCGAGAATCCCGGCGCCACGTTGACGGAGCGCTGTTGTAATTGAAAACCTAGTGTTTCGTCGGAGTCGGCACGTGAGTACTGAGCGTACGCAGCACCGCCGGCCGGCGGGCGCGGACTGTGCGTTGTACGGCGGTTGCCTTCAGACTTGGCCGGCCAAGTGGGGAACATAGCAGGATCTATCGCCACCGGATGCTCCTGTCGAAGGAATTCACGTGTTAAATCTAGCGATCATATTTATCAACAGCACTTAACAATAAACAAAGATAGTGGGAATATAAAGTACAGGCTAATAAAATGGATACTAAGATTAGAAAGCCTCTGGCAAAATGCTAGAGAAGAGTTAACATTATAAAAAATTTTATTGTTGGGTAAACAATTAAAATAAAAAAGCTTCTGGCTAAATGCTTGAAAAGAAAGATTTTTTTTTTTAAGTTACGTATCTACGAAAAATCATAAGGTAACCGTTTTTGCATTCACTGCTGCATTCGATTGAACTTCTTAGAAACATTTATATCTAGATTTACTTCTATATAATACTTATTCACTGTACCTCATCATTGATAAAGATAAAAAAATAGTAAAGATTAAATGTGACAATGCAAAATATCTTTAATGAAAATGCTAAAAAATACACCAATTCCAGGTACCGTGAGATGGTGGATTTTTAAGAAAAATCAAAATCAAATTTATTTATTAAATCTAAGCTGTTACGAGCACTTGTGAAAGTCGAGAGCTACGCCAAAATAAGCATTTATTCATTTAAGATATGTAATATCCGCTCACCTTAAAATAGGCATGGTCGAGAGCAGCGTCGGCAGTGACCCGTCTCTCAGGATTGTACGTGAGGAATCCATTTAAAAGTGACAGCCCCGCCTCTGATAGTAGATCGGGCCCGATACGATTCCTGAGTCCGCCCGCAGGATGCTCAGCGAACGTCATCTTCTGGACAGCTGGCAGCTCACTATACCCTGGCCACACAGACTCTGACGGCGTTCCAAGATCCTACAAAATTAAATAACTATGTCAAACACATATATAGTATGAAAATACATTGCTTAAAATAAAATATAGTTAATGCTAATAGACTACACTTATTTCTTACGAATTGATATGACACCTGACAACCTATATCTCGAAGCCTCCTAATTTTTGTAAGCCTCAAACAAAAAATAGGAGAATTTTGAATTGTTCTTATAATTTTGTTAAATCATATCCATGAAGATTACCGGTCATCTCAAAGCTATTTGAAAAGATACTTTTGGTACGCATGCTGGACGCCCTATCTGAAAGATCGGTAATACCTGACCATCAGTTTGGATTCCGACAAGAACACGGAACAGTGGAACAAGTACACAGAGTTGTTGATCAAATAAGAAAATCCCTGGAATTAAAAGAATACTGTTCATCTGCGTTCCTCGACATAGAACAAGCTTTTGACAGAGTCTGGCACAATGGCTTACTCTGCAAAATCAAAACATCGCTGCCACATACCTTCTTCGGTATAGTAAAATCATACCTTTCTGAGAGAATCTTTCACGTAAGAGACGGGGAATACTCATCCAATTTCTATAAAATACGGGCTGGAGTACCGCAGGGATCGGTGTTGGGACCCCTTTTGTATACCATATTTACGTCGGATCTTCCAGAAACCACTGGAGTATTAACTGCTACATTTGCAGATGACACTGCCATTCTTGCTAGTAGCAAGAATCCAGAGGAAGCAAACCAGCTTCTGCAGCAGGAGCTGGACAAAATAGAAAAATGGTTAAAGAAATGGAGAATCAAAGCTTCTTCTTCGAAATCAGTTCATGTCACATTTACCCTTCGTAAAGAAGACTGTCCACCTGTAAAACTGGAAGGAAAAATTCTACCGCACCAGGATACAGTTAAATACTTGGGTATGCACTTAGATCGTAGACTAACATGGAAGAACCACTTGCTTAAAAAAAGAGACCAAATTAACATCAGATACAGGAATCTGCAATGGCTACTTGGACGAAACTCTGTGCTGAGCATTGATAACAAACTCCTTATTTACAAGGTTGTCTTAAAACCAATTTGGACATATGGTATTCAGCTGTGGGGATCAGCTTGTAACTCCAGTATAGAAATTATTCAAAGAGCACAAAATAGCATCTTAAGAAATCTATCTAATGCGCCATGGTTCATAAAAACAACTGAACTCCATAATGAACTTGGAGTTTGCACAGTCAAGGACGAAATAAGGCAATACTCGGCCAAATACAAAGAGCGCCTTCTTACTCATCCAAATTGCCTGGCAGTACAATTGACCAGCGTCAACTACCCCAAGAGGCTTAAACGACAACACATCATTGAATTATCACTTTGATCTTGAAATGATAGAAAACAAAGAATGGAGAGATACTCAATGGAGTATTGTTCCTACAAGATAAAAACGCTCACATCACATCTGCTTATAGTCAATAGACTGATTGAAGATTAACAGAGGTAGTGTTAAGTCTTGCATCCCTTGCTTCATAAAAACTTTTGTTTGAAGTTGTATAAGCAATCCAAAAATAAATTTCATTTCCGGAGAAATAGAAATAGGGCTTCAGGTGTCATGCTAATTCGTACAAGTAGCACAGGCATTGCTTGAGTCAAAACCAAATTGATGATCTTTAAATTTCTATAATATACATTGATATATATCAAAATTATATAAAATAAAAGTTGAGTTTGTCCAAGATTTACTAATGGTTGTAATTATAATTAATTACAAAGTTAACAAAATTATTGACCTACCTTAAATATTCGATTTAGTTGATCTACTTCAGACTTTCCGGGAAATAGTGGATTCATAGAGACAAACTCTCCAAATATGCATCCAACACTCCACATGTCAATAGGCGTAGAGTACTCTTTACTGCAGAGCAGAAGCTCCGGCGCACGGTACCATAGTGTCACTACTACAGGGGTATACTGCCTTAGCGGGGAGCCATATTCTCTAGCCAGACCAAAGTCACCAACCTGACGACAAAACATATCTAAATATAGAAATCGTACATAAAAAGTCCGATAAGTCTAGAAAAAACAAGGAATTTATTTAAAATATATATCGAATAGCTAAACCCAAAGGACCGCGTAGTCGTATGCTATGACAGTTTGTTTTATTATGATCAGTGACGTGAATGATATCCTGTTGTCCAGTTAGATGAGTAGTTTCGAAGTTACAAAAGAGAATAATAGAAGAGAGAAGTACAAATGAACATTCTTACATACATACCGGCCGGAATCATAACCCTCCTTTACGCTTCGCCATAGTCGGGTAATAAAGTGTGTTTATAATTTAATACATTATTGTGTTCGACTTACCTTTAATACACCTTTGTGTGATAATAGAAGATTGCTCGTTTTCAAATCTCTATGTAATATCCAATTGTCATGAAGATGATGAACGGCTTTAAGTAATTGAGTCATTAGACATTTCACTTCACCTGTAAATTAAAAAATATAGTAATATAGTACAAATATAATTTATTATAGGAACAACAGACAACAATATTAAATGATCTTTTAAATCGTTTAATTTGAACCTCCTCATGCTAGGATCTTCAGAACATCAGAATGTATGTTAAACTGTTGGTAGGAGCTGTATCCGTAGTAGGATGGCCTGGCGGGTGATTCTATCCATCTGAAAGACTTGTGGCTCACTAATGGAGCCTCATTAACGATGCCGGAATATCTCACCTGGTAGAAACACTTGTTTTTTTCCTCTCATCGTCTCCATTAAGCTCTTGAGATCGTGTTCAACATAATCCATGACAATGAATATCTTGTCCATGTTGGAGCCGACGACTATCTCTCGACAAGTCACGATATTCGGATGTTGACCCTGCAACAAGCAAACGAATTGTGCGACTTGTTAGTTTAGATTGACAGTAACATTACCATTCCATAGGAATAAGTTTTACACGATTCAAAAGCATCACTTCTTAAACTTCTTAAAACTAATGTTAATTATCTTGCAACCTTAAGTTACTAGATACCATCATATTAATTAGACTTGCAACGAATAGTATATTCGGCCATATGCCGAATACTGAATTTTTGGGTAGCTTACTGCCCTAATAACCGAATATTAGGCATAAGTATTCGGCTGGTATGTGGCGCCAAAACTTGTATTGACGTGATTGTTTCGCGCTCATTTGTTGTAATGTATTCACCAACCTTTCACCGTGGACCGCCCGTGCACTGCGTGTTTTGACAAGTTTAGTTTGTGCACATCTTAATAGTTCGCTTTGCCTGCGTTTTGATTTATTTGTATGTAAGTGAAATCGTGATAGATCTAACTTATAAACAATAAATAATTACCTACCTACTTTTATAACAGTAAATGAAAATAGTGATAAATTATGGCGTCTAAAAAGAAATCGCTACGTCGAGGATTTAATTCAATTATTTCGTTACAACAAAATATATTAGGTACGTAAGTATTCGGTATTCGGCAGAATATAACAAAAGCAGCTGCATAGGCCGAATATAGAAGATTCGTTGCAAATATAATAAAAAAGATACCAAGATACAGAGTACAGTAATTAAATATTATAAGTTTGAGAAACGTCTAATATAATAGATCAATATAATTAGTCTATTTGTAACACATCGTCGTTCGTTCTTAACCATAATGATGACAAAATACAAAGACAGTCAATATTTGAAATAGAAAACCAATAACATGATAAGAAATCGGGAGGTTAAAGTTAAGACTACACATTTTACATATTACAAATTCAACACATTCGGTACACTCTTGATGCTGGCCACTACTCATAGCTAACTGACAGACTGAGAACTTGTTTATATTTATCAATTTGTTTTTTTTTTAAGAGTTTGTAAGTAAATAAAGAGAGTTCAATCAAGACGTTTACAAATATTGCTATAATTAAGTTACGTTTTTCCTTGAAAATGTTGGAATACATCGAGATAAACAATAAAAACTGATAAACCCCTTTTTTTTAAATCACTTTAAAAAGGTAAACCATTTATTTCGAAATTAATTCTTTTGGAAAATATATATGTAACCATATACAATGTATGTATGTACTTTGATGGCTTTTCTATTCTGAAATATCTGAAAAGTATAGAAGAAATTTCAAATTGTTTCGATTAAGCTTCATCTTCATTGTATATATGTCATCATTATAATAAATAACTTGACTACAACCTATTCATCCAAAAAATATGTCATATTAGCATATACATTTGGAATTATATTACAAAACTATTATATACTTATGCGTAGGAGATAAAAAAAATATAATAAATATATATTATTACAAATAAGGTTAATTCTTAGGTAGTAGCTTATGATAAGTATATTCATCTTGTTGACTTACAATAAATATTAGGAATGCCAAATACATAACTACATTATTGATAATTAAACTCTTTTAGAGCTTTGAATGTATCTTTCAAATGGTATTTGTGTATTCATAAAGGAAAATTTCGAGTTACACTTCATTCAAAATTATTATTATACAGAATTGATTTTTGAGACGGGATAGTAATTCGGGTATTACAATTACTTGAAAACATTCCTAGGAATATTTTGACCTGCATGATTATTCTTGAACGCATTCGCGATGGATCTAAATTGCAGTTGTGACGTTTCGGACACTTGATTTAGTAAACTAGCGCCAAATATTGCGTGGTTATTCAATGAACTTTTTCAATTGTAAGTATTTAGGATATGTTTCAAGAGTACGAGCTAAGATTTGATGAAAATAGAGATCGTTATTGGATTGCATTGAAATTAAGATTTCGTTTGATCCTATTCAAAGTGGTGATCAAAGGACAAAATGTCTTGTAATATAACGAGGACCAATTTTAGTACCAGTTTTAATACATTATCTGACTAAAGCAAATTAACAAAACAGAAGAGATAACGTCGAGTTGAGACGCGTTGACTTATTTTGATTGGATAATGGTTTAAACATTTACATAAGACTATGTGAACACGGAACTTGTAAAGGGTCCGAATCGTCAATAAAATTAAATACAAACGCGATGAAACCGATTGTTGTTTCATTTATACAGGAAAAATTCATGGAAACCGTCATAAATTATTAAAATATTACAAACTGCACTTACAGGTATAAAAAGTACATGCAGCAAAGAATACTCTATAATACCAAAACATGATTGATAACTGATATCATATTTCAGGCGATCAAAAAAGACCATGGAAATATTTAAGATATAGGAAATTTTAGAAATCTCACTGTGATCAAGGACCGTTTTCATGTAACTATAATAGTTATTATATAAAGGTATACGTATTAAGGTATAGTTATTATATTAAGGTATACGGTAATAGTTATTATATAAAGGTATACGTGTACCAGAATCTAATGGCACAAAATAAAAAGAAACATTATCGAATATAGAGTGAACAGGTATATGTTTGAGCACACACTTGTGCACAGACGTAGATGGCTCATCTATGTTAAAATTTGCCGTGATCGTAATTCGGTCAGGAGTATGTTCGATACTATGAGGTATTTATTGAAAATTGTTTGATATTAAAAATATAACAAGTATCAAGACGTTTTTGTCTTATTTCCCTAATGTTGCTTTCTACCAATTGAAATTTACCGATTTGCCACCAGATTCAGGTACGGCTATATAGCCTTACTGACCCGTCTAAAATATCCATCTTGCACAAATGATATTGTCTAATATTTAATTATTATATTGAATAATACAAAATCTAAGATAACGCCTTTAAATAGTTTAAATTGTTCTAGAACTAAAAACAAAGCAACGCCTTTATTCTTTGTCTCACTTGAACGAAGTACGAAGGCGCAATTTTTTGGTTGATGTAAATATGAGTGTACCGTATCATCCCGTTTGATTTTGTTTTATAAACCATCTTATTTCCACTAAATTGTGTTTGTCAACAAGTCACGTATTCTGATTGGAATCGGTTCTGCTCGCTATACACAGTGCGGTGCTGATCCCAACGTTAATATATGATAGCGAAAGTTACGTATGTCAGAAAGAACATGTAAGTATATTATATGTCATGGATTATATTAGTATAACACAGTCTAAATACGTCCGTTATGTAGAATTTGCGGAGAAATTCTCGCAAACCAAAATCGCAAGAGATAAGAATGAGTGGTGACTTGAAATATATAAACATAACATCGGAGTATAAATCAACAGAAACATGTTCCATTGGACGGACACGCGCGAAAGTGGAAGGAAGCAGAAGCCGAGGAAAGCCATGACACACCTTTCCCGAGTAAATCAATCGCGTACTCTTAGAAGGTGATGTCAGAAACCATAAAAACCGGCGAGTATGTATGAAAAGAATAATGTAAGTGGACGAGGCGAAATATGTATGTACTACCGTACATTATGGCGTTCGGCTCTCTGCCCACCCTGCCAGGGATACGGCGTGAAGATATAAATAGAGAAACTGCTTTTGAAACTCATTGAAATAGGTGCAATAAGTTGAACCTACTCGGATACATAGCATGATCATTTTTTGTCAACTGGCTATACTATCTATAAATCTATACTGCGAGCTCAATAGCGTAAGCATAGCCGTTACGTGTCTGCAATTTCTAAATTTAAAGTTATTCTCTTGCCATTAGTTGTTATTGTCATCGACTTTTCGTTACATTTGTCTTAACTTTTTTGCACGCTGTACTTTGCACAGAACTCGTTTTAGCCAGGCGTCATATTAACTCGTCCGTATATTATATTATCTATTAAGGAGCAAAACTGCTAAAGTATTTCATATTAATAATTTAAGGGGCTCTTCCATATGAGGAGCAACTTATTTGCGTATTATATCGTCGCACTATATTTATGTTTTATTTTTGGCTCAGAAACTAACGACATACTACCATAAATGTTAAAGCCGCGAAGCAGTTGTAACAACAAATGTAAGGCACTCGGCCCAGACACATTTGAAAGTATGCAAATAACCCAGCCAAGTGCGAATAGGACTCGAGTACAATGGGTTCTGTAGCATTATCATTAAAAAAATGTATAAAATACGTTTGATGTTTTCTATGGAGTTCGAAATTTTCGACTTAAATTACTCAAGCTAACTTAATTGTTATAGTTATCCTTTTAACTTCGTTACATATAGGTACTACTGCCGTAACGTTTGAATTTTTACCAACTACCATACCATACTCTTATGAAAATTAGCTCTTCTTTAAAGCGTATTAAGTCACAAACAGTTTACTAAAGCTAGAAACGGCCTTCCCATACTTGCAGTTTTTTTGAAAAACCTATCTAACGATGTCCCACACAATGGGTAGGACGGAAAAAATTATCATCCATACTTTACATGAAGGGGATGTATTTTATTTTGTTTCGAAATTTTACTTTACCACTTTGTCGGCGTAATTAACGTGTATACATACTCGTGTCAAAATGTAATTTCTAGTACTAATAGTTTTTGACTAAACCGCAGACGGACAGACGGACGGACGGACAAACGGACTTAGCGAAACTATAAGGCTTCCCTTTTTACTACGGAGCACTAAAAACTGATGACAAATAGACACGATTTATTGCAGATAATATACGAAGAAGTGCAACTTTGATGCTTGCTATTGAACCCAATGTCGTTTAGCACGCCTCTAAGGCATATTTCTTAAATAATACATTAATTAATAAATAATATCTAAATTTTAACATTGTATGAAAATACTTGAGCAGTTTATCAGTATGACTAATTCGAACATGGCATAGGTATAATGGAAATTATTCTGTAAAACTAATAGCGGTCCGGCTGGGGATAATGATAACACCACTTGGTACACGACTAGGGAGTGCAATATTCATCCGATTCTAATATTCAATTATCAA